AAACGCGTTCTGGCAACCTGAAAAACGGATTGTACGTTGATGAGAGAGTAAGCTAATACTTGGAAAAATAGTTTGAGTTATGCATCTTAAACATCCTAATGATTTTTAACTTTGTTACCTTCCACAAATATGATTCCCTGTTTTGTCTGTACAATCTGACCATTACTCCCTTTGATTCCGTTCTCCACTTCACAGATGTATGTCCCCATGTCCTGATAGCTCACTCTTGGTAAAGTCAGTGTACTTACTGACTCTGAATTGATCACGTGGTCATCTAAATCTCTGACGACTGTAGATCCAATCTTGTGTATCCACCTGAACTTGTACACGGAAGGAACGCCCCTAGCAGTACAATTCAGACTGGCGTTCGTAGTATTTTCTGTCATGTTTGTAAATGCCAAGTCAACTTCGGGTGCATCTAAAAACATGCAGAAAAAAAACATACAGACTTGTTTGATACTTTGGAAAGAATTAATAGATAAAAAAATCTCCTTTACATTAAATATTAAATGGTTAAATCAAATGTAATAAATAGCAAAACATTATATTTTTCAGGAAATCGCATTGAATATGCTATTAAATGTTTTTAAGTACAACAATATATAAGGGGGATTTGGTCAATTGTATCCCACAGTGTTACAATGAGTATCACATACGTTCCGTTTCATAACGAACAAATACATTTTCTTAAATGCGACAATCATGTTGACTTTAAAAAGCCTCATAATGGCATTCAACCTATATATCATTGGTGTCAAATTTCTGGTGGGTATATATGATCGACATGGTCAATAATTTTCTTGTTATTTAATGCCAACACACCATCAATATATCATTCAGTGAAAGGCACGGGCTTTCTGACATTAATAAATTCAGCATTTTATGTAAAGAAAATGCCAGTAATGCAACGAACGCTTTCAATTCAAACATGTAAGACAATTGTGTGCGTATCGTACATAATTTATTCAGAAATACATTCCGGTGTAGATCACAATCATATAACAGTACTAAGAATGGGTGAACGTTTGTTTTCTATATGAAATTTGGTGTATTGCTTGTGAATTGATGTAAATACACATTGTGCTTTTTCATATGGGTTTCTTAAATACAATGATAACATTCTAAACATGGAATTGAGTAATATTATTAATTGAACTCATAATAGATACGTAGTAAGACAAGTAAGTGTAACATCTGTCGCAAAAACGGGTATATATTCTAAATAAAGAGTCAATTTTAAGATCAATTCTAACTCATCTTAAATGTAACCAGATTGTTTCAATATTAACGCGATGTACATATCTAGCGCGGATAACGCCTGTGTATGACGTCACTAACCTATATACGCAATGAACCTGATTGCAGGGACAATGTCATGACCTCTCTACCAGTTAATTTAAGAATGAATATCCACGATATATCACACACAATTAAAAACACCCATTAAAGATCCCCCGACTAATTGAATAAACGTTATATCTATAATATTCAATTTCGCTTTAGGTTACAAAGTTAACTGGTAATTGTATAATGCACGACCTTCTTACGTCATGTTTGAAAAGTATTACGCTGTATGTGAATGAAAAATTAATATCCTATCGAATAGACCAATAGGCGAGATATTCCCATATATATATTCAGTTTTACTTCATTTTGTGTTTGGTTCATATATGAATTAATTGCTTTTCTTTGCTGCGATAAATAATACATCCAAACTAGTATAACATTATAAATACCTTGTGCTATCGCTTTGTCTTTCTATATTTATATATCAAAAACTGCAGATGGCGCTGAAGGCTCTAAGGAAAACGTATTTTCGCAATATAAAGTAACAAAAAAATCATAAAACAGGACATAAATAAGCATAATGGGTAATAGTAGAACAAACATATTTCCACCGTTCTGTGAAGCGTGATGGAATATAATTCTGACTCGATACTTACGTTAACAAGAGGCCCATAGTCCTAAACGGTCACCTGACTTGTTTTTTGTAACAAAAGACAAGCCCAAACATAACAAATCTGCCTTATCCAATATCTAGCATACAGATTAAGGCCAATAGAGCAATGTTTGTAGTACGTGTGATAATTTAAAGACACTGCAGAAATTGGAACAAATCCAACTCCTAGGACCTCGCACTGACGTTTTCAAAACTTTAAACTACTCGACAACTAAATTCCAACCTGTTTTGTCATTTCAACTGCAAATGAATACGAATACTCACATATATCATTGTAGGAGGATAAATTTTACATCTTCGAGAAGTGGAGAAACATGAAGTATTGTGGTAATTAAAACTTAAGTCTAGCCATTTATCCACTTGACTAGCTTGCTGGTGGTCCCAAGTTTCGTCTCTTGGTTATTGTGGAAAATCATTTTCCGGTTTTAAGGTATTTTATCCTTGTCACCATGAAAGCTATCATTCATTTAAACAATCTTAGTTACCCTTTATCCCATCATGCTATTTGTCGAATATTACTGCTTCTGGCCAAATATCATTACACTGGGTCTCATCGTTTGAAGATTTTAAAAAATTTGCCACCTGTCACCTTGAAAGTAGTTCGAGGTCTTTTATTTGTACAAACTTTGTCGCCTTTCATGCAAGCTTGATACAGGCCCAATATAAGACCTCCGGCCCTTTCAGTAATTGAGAGGAAGTTGTTTGAAGATTTTAATATATTTTAGCCATGTGACCTTGAAATTTAATGGATAAAAGGCGATCGCGATAGGTCACTTCAGACTTTGTCTGAAATACAGAACTCTTTTTGTTTACTTACATTGTACGATGATCCGGAAAGATTTCGTTCGTGTTTGTGAGGTAATGCCGTTTTCAGCAAGGCATACATAGATACCGGCGTCCCCTTTCTCTATCCTGGAGAAAAAAAGGACCCCTGTTGACGGTAACGTAGTAAAATCCTGAACCCAGGACACGTTTGGAGAAGGATTACCGTGAGCTGAACACGTCCTGTTAAAACTCTCACCTTCACTGAGGATGACTTTAGAGGTATTTAGGTTGATGACAGGAGCATCTGTAACATATCAATGTATCTTATGTGTATTGTGTTAAATGCAATAATGTCAGAAATTAATTGAAATCATACAGCTGTATTTTTAATGTCGGAATACCTAGGATACGACGGAAGAAAATATAACTTTGTTGTTAAACTCATGAACATAATAGATAACGATAAGCACTTACCCGATACAATTGAACAAATCAACATTTTCAATATGACTTAATTATTAAACTAAATCAAGCGTATTTTAAAATTCTGAGTCATGCCAATAAGCAACGAACTGAAACATGACAAAGGGATACCTCAATTCCCATTACTTTTGTGGCTTCATCGACAGGAAACCCGTCATTGGTAAATAATTACATTTAACATGATTCCCAAAAACATTGTAACGAGAGGAGATAAACATTATCACAAGTCTTAAACAGTTATTCTACCACTAATTCGGTATTATTCAATTCAAAGGGCATCAATTAATCATCAAATGTTGTATAACCTAACATTTTATAACGCTCGTGGGAAAACAAATTAACATGCTCTTATTGACTGACAAACCACACAAACTCATGGGTAATACATCTAGTAATTCTTTCGTTAGGCTCGTTTCTTTTCGATTTTTGTTCTGTTTCTGTTATTTTTTGTTATTTCTACCTCTATTTCACTAATCTACAACGTCAGATGACTTTAATATATACAAAACAGCCCCATGTATGTATGATTTATCATCATATTGATGAATCACATCTTTCAACAATAGTGCAAATGTATATTGAAACGACCGAAATAAAAAGAAGACTCAGAAGACGACAGAAACGCTAAATTCATATTGAAGGTATACAGCAACGGAACCAACAAGTAAACTCAAGAGAATAAAAAATGTTAAGCTTCATATTACATCAGACACAGGTTTAGTGCTTTTCCATCGCTATATTCGATTATTTGAGAATTAACTTCGAGGTACTATTTTCTCTTGCCTTATAACATATGTTCTTGAACGTCAGACATAAACAGTACGAACATAATTACCGAACATCATTTAAATGTATCTTAATTCTTTCACAGCACTGACACGATATAAATTATTCTGTTCAATGTCGAATCCAGTCAGAAGACAAGTAATACAATTACGTCGACATCACGGAAAACACTTGCAATCTATATCTTTGTGGTGCCGTAAACGAATCATGGATAATGGCACCACCACAAGTGCCACTTGTACTAGCCGAATTGCCATTGTTTCATCCCATTTGATTTTAAATTAAGATTCTGTTTACATGTGTGCATTTTTAAGATTGATTTCTACAAGATGCTTATAAATTGTATATAGCTTGATAAAGTCGGCCCTTCTCTAATGAATTCTGTATTATGCCTTGATATCATCGGTACTTAAAGCCGTAGAAAAGTCATAAATATATCGACCGAAAGAAGTGTTATCATATCATTTGTGTTCAAGGTTCCATTTTTATAATTTTCACCTCTGGTCGACATTATATAGCCATGTCGATATTTTTTTCTGAGACGTGTTTTGTAATTGACAAAGTCACGGACTGATAATGTATTTTGCAGTATACATTTTGCTCATCGGTGCACGGAGCGCCTTCTCAACTATTGTGCCTTAATTGCATTATTTTTATTCCGTAATATAAAATATTTACATCTTATATTTCAAATACACACATGTTGTACAAGTGTGCGAACTCATGAGATTGATTGTGTTGTTTTGTAAAGGCAACGAAATGACACTACCCACAGAGTATATTATATCTTAACAACCACAATGACAAATGTTTTAGGAATAAATTATATGGAATTAGCATTAAGAAATTATATATGTTGTTTAACTGGTGTGTAAACTGTATTTTTAACAGAAATTGTAAATAACGTGCGCTAATGTGGATAATGAAGGTAAATTGAAATTTCCGATTGAAGAAGTAATGTCACAAATATCCATAGATAGGAAAGGAAAATATAATAACTGTAGTTAAAATTGGTTTCAATTGTAACAGATAAATGAGGGAAAGCGATATCGTCATATTTATCACGCATTTCTTTATGGTGCAATAAGACTGATCATGGCTACTGTTAGCTGAAATCTAAAGTGCAAAATCTAGGTTTTGTGCCCCTAATATTCCAAGTCAAGCCACTTCGAGTATGGTCGGTAGAAGAGTAGTGAAACTGATACTTACATAGCACGTTAAATACGACAGTCTTTGTCCCAATTGTTGTTTTAGAATATGTAGCGGTACAAACGCACTGCTGTCCATGGTAGGTTTCATCCACTGTAAATGTCAGTCTTGACGCTGATAAATTGCTGGTGGTCAAATTCACACCGATCCTTGGTGACTCTTTACACCGCCAGGTCAGTGTGGCCAGAGGGTTACCTCCCTTCAACTGACATTCAAGGCGTTGTGTCGTTCCATTGGTAACTGTTTCCGTACCAGATGGAAGCAAATAGATGTTTGTTGCTAGTGGTGGATCTGCAAAAGTATTGCGTGTTGAATAGTAATGTAAATAATGAAAAAAAAACTTGGTAACATCCATTCCTAATAATATATCTACATGGGCGGGCGTAACGTTCTTGTATCCAGTTGCAGTTTGTGGTAATATTTTTTTTAAAAGCTAAAATGTCATAAAACTAGGGCGAAATATGAACAAAATAAAGAATTTCACTGAGAATCCTGAAAAGGTACAAAGAGAATAGGACCATGTGATGATTATTTTAGAGAAAAGAGAGAATAGCACTATTTTGTCGTCGATATACTTCATATGTATTACATATTTACTTTGTGATCGATTTCAATCGATAATTTTTAAATGTCTTGTAATGCATATCCTTTGGTTTTGTTGATTATATATATCACATGCTAAGTGCAATACAAGCAACTGAATCTTTATTTTATAACCCAGAGAATATGGGGACGGAATTGAGTCTGTTTATGATTTGCTCTTCCTTTTATAACGCTTGATTAGAACATTAAACTCGTTGTCACTAATGCTGTTTATCTTAGAAATATCAAACGTTATATACGTATGTTATTTATGATGTTTTTCACCAGTGTGCGACATGTTAACCTATAATTTCTTATAGATCAACATTGGTACATTAATAGAATGAGGCATATGTTTAAAAATTGCATTCTCTCATCATATATATATCATGTGTTTTCCAGTGTTTTAACTTTATATTTATTAGGCATGGATAATTCACCACATTTTCAATATATATATATATATATATATATATCATGGAAATGTTATAGTTACAATGGAAAATCTAATCTTTGTAAAAGTATGGGTTTGCGTCCTTTTCGTCATGGATCCAAGTTAAGTGTCGGGTCGAGTGTGGTAAGAAGTAAAACAATGAAGCTGGTACTTACATATCACATCAAACACTACAGTCTTTTCCCCGATCGTTGTTGTAGAATTTGTAGCGGTACATACACATTCTTTTCCATTGTAGGTTTGATCCACTGGAACGATTAGCCTAGACGCTGACAAACTGTCCTTGCTCAGATTCACTCCGACCACTTCCGACCCTTTACACCGCCAGGTCAGTGTAACAAGTGGGTTACCTCCTTTCACCTGACATTCAAGGCTTTGTGACGTTCCACTGGTAACTGTTATCGTACCAGATGGAAACATCCAAATGGACCGTGCTGCTAGTGGATCTGCAAAGTAATGTGTTTTAGTTTCAGAGTTATACTATTATATCTTGCTTGCTCTCTATATTATCAAATATTGTCAACTATGTTAAATGAAACTAAAATTTCTAACGAATAAGATGTAGGACACTTGTCAGTTTCAAAACCAAATAGCACAAACGGAATGACGGGGCTAAATATCCATACTCAATAATGGGTGTGTGATCAAGCATATGTTTACCGCTATCTCTAAATAATAATTTACCCGAGTAATTGGCGATTCACCTCGTGTTATTTTTTATTATCAGCAATAATTATCATCATTTTATTTTTGTTTAATTCTTTTACAACGGGAGGAAATTGTGTAACTATTTGATCTGAATATCACAAAACCTATCATACAAACTTGCAGTTCCTTGACACAAGACACTTTCGAGATGACACAAACAGCCCAGTTCATAATCGAACAGGTAATATTATTAATTTCCTTCACAGTATTCCACACTTCAATATTTACAGGGCACGTATTTTATTATTCCAGGAGATAAGGCGCCCAATAAACTGACCAATTTCTATAGACATTATTACATATCAAGCATAAAAAAGAAATAGATTGCTCGATAACCAAGTAGTTCGTATGCACATACCGGTATATGATTAAAAATATTTCATATTCACCAGATAACAGTTTCGAGAATTTATACAATATGATTTCCGGCAATGAAATTGAACTCGTCAATGTCGTATGAGTGAACTTTCTATATCTAATCACAAAGCACCTTAAAGTTTTTGAAGATGACACTATGTTATTGATACATTGATAGCTGATGGCCTTCAATAGAAATATTTCGTTACGAAAATTATAAATCTTATACATTGATGTATACACACGTACATTTTCTCTTATTCTCTATTTCTATAAAGATAACAAATTGACCTATGGGTTAAATCCCTCTTTGCTCCAACCTGTGCATTAAAATAAACTCATCAGAATCTTTTACTTTTTTCTACATTTTGACCTCATCATTAGCAGTTAATCTTTGAACTGAATGATGAAACATCACATAATTAGAATTAAATATAGTTTAAACTTACTCTTTGAAAAGGATGAACTTTGGTGGGAAACCCGATTGAATCACTGTCGCAAAACACCACCAAAACACGTGCTTTTTTGCATTTTACCGTATCAATGGTACTTCATCATCTAGTCGTTTCATTCGGTTTAGAGAGAATTCGGTATCCAAAATTCAAAGAGTTGAAGAATCCCGACCCGGATATGATCGATCCGATTTTGTTTATGTACAGAATATTAACAGTGCCCATTTCTAACTAAATACAAAAAAAATGTTATGCAGTAAAAATATAACGATGAATAAAACCGATACTTTTCTGCAATTCTTGACTTCACAACAGAAAAAGAAGAAACAAAAACTTCGTATTGCTCTGTTAATATTTGGTTAGATCATCAGCATAACGCAATCAATTGTATAAACAACACTCCATTCCGATTTTCCGTATTTGTACGTGTTATGAACAATTCACGTCTTTCTAGCAGCTCTACATTAATACAATTTTTACTTTTGCTAGCCCCTCACTCTGATCAATGACACGCTTGATTTATTCTATATGGTTTCATAGTATCAGTTGTGATAATGTTGTACATTGTTAACTAAACTCAACCCGATCAGGGTAGGTATCTGTACAAGTCTGGGCACGTGTGCGGCCGAGGCACAGAGCTCACGACTTGTCGGACACCTGGTCTTGATCGGTCAAACTTCAGATTATTTTAATCATTTCCGACATCAAAGCGGTTCAGTATTTGGAATGGAAAGGGATCGGTATTGTAAAGATTTTAATTACAATAATAAAAAGGATATAATTGCGCACATCGACATTAATTTCGTTTTCAAGGGATAATCGCTTCAGTTTACAACTCGAACGAGTGATTCATAAAACAATATATAAACATACATTAGTATGTGTTAGTCAGCCGAAATAACCTTGTGACCACTTGTTAGACACTTTTATATAATTTATCACACTGTAAAACAAACAAAATGTAAATTCATAAACGTCTTATACGTATCTGCATCATTGCTGCTATCAAACGTAACTAATACGAGTGACGGTGCAATCTACAAAACGACGTTTATGATTTTATCACTGTTTATAGTAAAAATACCTTCACATTCTTAGACTATTATCATTAAGATACAATGATGGATAACCTAACAGTAATCAATGTCAGTTGACATCCTAATCACCAGTATAAAATGGTGTCAATATATTTAGTGTCAGTATACCGCATCAGCAGTATATAATGAGTGTCAGTATACCTCATCATCAGTATATAACGAGTGTCAGTATACTACATCATCAGTAGATAATGAGTGTCAGTATACCTCGTCATCAGTATATAATGAGTGTCAGTATACTCATCAGTATATAATAAGTTTCAGTATACCTCATCGTCAGTATATAATAAGTGTCAGTATACCTCATCATCAGTAGATAATGAGTGTCAGTATACCTCGTCATCAGTATATAACGAGTGTCAATATATCTCACCATCAGTATATAATGATTGTCAGTATACCTTGTCATCAGTATATAACGAGTGTCAGTATACCTTGTCATCAGTATATAATGAGTGTCAGTATACCTTGTCATCAGTATATAATGAGTGTCAGTATACCTTGTCATCAGTATATAATGAGTGTCAGTATACCTTGTCATCAGTATATAATGAGTGTCAGTATACCTTGTCATCAGTATATAATGAGTGTCAGTATACCTTGTCATCAGTATATAATGAGTGTCAGTATACCTTGTCATCAGTATATAATGAGTGTCAGTATAACTTGTCATCAGTATATAATGAGTGTCAGTATACCTCGTCATCAGTATATAACGAGTGTCAGTATACCTCGTCATCAGTATATAACGAGTGTCAGTATACCTCATCATCAGTATATAACGAGTGTCAGTATACCTTGTCATCAGTATATAATCAGTGTCATTATACCTTGTCATCAGTATATAATGAGTGTCAGTATACCTTGTCATCAGTATATAACGAGTGTCAGTATACCTCATCATCAGTAGCTAATGAGTGTCAGTATACCACATCATCAGTATATAATGAGTGTCAGTATACCTCATCATCAGTATATAATGAGTGTCAGTATACCACGTCATAAGTAATATAATGAGTGTCATTATACCTTGTCATCAGTATATAATGAGTGTCAGTATACCTTGTCATCAGTATATAACGAGTGTCAGTATACCTCATCATCAGTAGCTAATGAGTGTCAGTATACCACATCATCAGTATATAATGAGTGTCAGTATACCTCATCATCAGTATATAATGAGTGTCAGTATACCACGTCATAAGTAATATAATGAGTGTCAGTATACCTCGTCATCAGTAGCTAATGAGTGTCAGTATACCACATCATCAGCATATAATGAGTGTCAGTATACCTCATCATCAGTATATACTGAGTGTCAGTATACTACATCATCAGAAGATAATGAGTGTCAGTATACCTCATCATCAGTATATAATGAGTGTCAGTATACCTTATTATCAGTATATAATAAGTGTCAGTATACCTCATCATCAGTATATAACGAGTGTCAGTATACCTCATCATTAGTATATAACGAGTGTCAGTATACCTCATCATCAGTATATACTGAGTGTCAGTATACTACATCATCAGTAGATAATGAGTGTCAGTATACCTCATCATCAGTATATAATGAGTGTCAGTATACCTTATTATCAGTATATAATGAGTGTCAGTATACCTCATCATCAGTATATAACGAGTGTCAGTATACTACATCATCAGTAGATAATGAGTGTCAGTATACCTCGTCATCAGTATATAATGAGTGTCAGTATACCTCATCATCAGTATATAATGATTGTCAGTATACCTCGTCATCAGTATATAACGAGTGTCAGTATACCTCATCATTAGTATATAACGAGTGTCAGTATACCTCGTCATCAGTATATAACGAGTGTCAGTATACCTCGTCATCAGTATATAACGAGTGTCAGTATACCTTGTCATCAGTATATAACGAGTGTCAGTATACCTTGTCATCAGTATATAATGAGTGTCAGTATACCTTGTCATCAGTATATAATGAGTGTCAGTATACCTTGTCATCAGTATATAATTAGTGTCAGTATAACTTGTCATCAGTATATAATGAGTGTCAGTATACCTCGTCATCAGTATATAACGAGTGTCAGTATACCTCGTCATCAGTATATAACGAGTGTCAGTATACCTCATCATCAGTATATAACGAGTGTCAGTATACCTTGTCATCAGTATATAATCAGTGTCATTATACCTTGTCATCAGTATATAATGAGTGTCAGTATACCTTGTCATCAGTATATAACGAGTGTCAGTATACCTCATCATCAGTAGCTAATGAGTGTCAGTATACCACATCATCAGTATATAATGAGTGTCAGTATACCTCATCATCAGTATATAATGAGTGTCAGTATACCACGTCATAAGTAATATAATGAGTGTCAGTATACCTCGTCATCAGTAGCTAATGAGTGTCAGTATACCACATCATCAGCATATAATGAGTGTCAGTATACCTCATCATCAGTATATACTGAGTGTCAGTATACTACATCATCAGTAGATAATGAGTGTCAGTATACCTCATCATCAGTATATAATGAGTGTCAGTATACCTTATTATCAGTATATAATAAGTGTCAGTATACCTCATCATCAGTATATAACGAGTGTCAGTATACCTCATCATTAGTATATAACGAGTGTCAGTATACCTCATCATCAGTATATACTGAGTGTCAGTATACTACATCATCAGTAGATAATGAGTGTCAGTATACCTCATCATCAGTATATAATGAGTGTCAGTATACCTTATTATCAGTATATAATGAGTGTCAGTATACCTCATCATCAGTATATAACGAGTGTCAGTATACTACATCATCAGTAGATAATGAGTGTCAGTATACCTCGTCATCAGTATATAATGAGTGTCAGTATACCTCATCATCAGTATATAATGATTGTCAGTATACCTCGTCATCAGTATATAACGAGTGTCAGTATACCTCATCATTAGTATATAACGAGTGTCAGTATAACTCGTCATCAGTATATAACGAGTGTCAGTATACCTCGTCATCAGTATATAACGAGTGTCAGTATACCTTGTCATCAGTATATAACGAGTGTCAGTATACCTCGTCATCAGTATATAATGAGTGTCAGTATACCTTGTCATCAGTATATAATGAGTATACCTTGTACCTTGTCATCAGTATATAATGAGTGTCAGTATACCTCGTCATCAGTATATAACGAGTGTCAGTATACCTCATCATCAGTATATAACGAGTGTCAGTATACCTTGTCATCAGTATATAATCAGTGTCATTATACCTTGTCATCAGTATATAATGAGTGTCAGTATACCTTGTCATCAGTATATAACGAGTGTCAGTATACCTCATCATCAGTAGCTAATGAGTGTCAGTATACCACATCATCAGTATATAATGAGTGTCAGTATACCTCATCATCAGTATATAATGAGTGTCAGTATACCACGTCATAAGTAATATAATGAGTGTCAGTATACCTCGTCATCAGTAGCTAATGAGTGTCAGTATACCACATCATCAGCATATAATGAGTGTCAGTATACCTCATCATCAGTATATACTGAGTGTCAGTATACTACATCATCAGAAGATAATGAGTGTCAGTAAACCTCATCATCAGTATATAATGAGTGTCAGTATACCTTATTATCAGTATATAATGAGTGTCAGTATACCTCATCATCAGTATATACTGAGTGTCAGTATACTACATCATCAGTAGATAATGAGTGTCAGTATACCTCATCATCAGTATATAATGAGTGTCAGTATACCTTATTATCAGTATATAATAAGTGTCAGTATACCTCATCATCAGTATATTATGAGTTTCAGTATACCTCATCATCAGTATAATATTTTTTCTGTATGAATCTTGAATTTTGAATTAGACTGTATTGAACATTAATTTTCATCGGATTATTTAAGGCTATGTAGTAAAAGACTGATCAAAATAGAATTGAACCTGCTTCATCACCACTAAACAGTATACATAAAATTGAAGTAATATTCTGTTGATTTTATAGAATCACTCACCCAAGCAGAGACAGGCAAGTATCACTGAAAACAGCACAACCACCTCCATCTTGTTTAAAACATAATTCTTGCTCAGACATGGAAAATTGAATTTGCCATATCCGTTTTCTCCGTAATCTACTTCAGTACACTATCCACGAACGGTTGATATAGATACAATTACTTCCTTGTGGTTTTATACTTATAGCATGTAGTTCACACAGTCATATATGTGTACAGAAACAAATCATTGCATTTGGACAATTGTCCATTATTTACTTTAGCTAAAGTTGGATGTTGAATATAGGGGCGAATTAAGACCAAGCGAAAGGAAAAAATTGATGGTTTAAATAAATATGTGTGTGTGTGTGTGTGTGTGTGTATCAAACTCGGGGAAACCGTTTTCTGATTAATTTTCTTTCCTATATAAAACCCAGATACATGTTTCTCGCATCAAGCTTTCTCTATAAAACCGTTGATAAATCTTTCCCCGTTAGCAAATTTTTTACCCATTAAAACTATATCATATTATCATATTTCCTCAAGTTAAATGTACTAAGATGAAAGACCTTTCATCTTTATACTAGATTGTTAATATCATAACTATGATTTTACTTTATATACTTTATTTGAGTGTATATGTGGTGATGAACACTTCTTCCTGTCAAGCATTAGTCAGGGGTAAGACTTACTTGAACACTTGTGTACCGGATGTCCTCCTTTGGTCGACAGTTTAAATTTAAATGATTCAGTGAAGAAATGGGACTTTGAATTGCGTCAGTTCCTGTCGTCTCTCTGTGTAATCCGACAACTTAAATGGTACGTTTCCGTAATATATCACTTCCACTACCATCATCATGCCATCATCATCATCATCATCACATCACTTCCACTACCATCATCATGCCATCGTCATGCCATCATCATCATCATCATCACATCACTTCCACTACCATCATCATGACATCGTCATGCCATCTTCATCATCACCATTATTATCATGTCAATATATCATCCGAGTCGTTGTTTAGCTGAGCTTAATTTATCTAAGACCAATCTGAAAATAGAACTGAAATGGTGTGTGGAGCTGAAAAATAAAAGCTGGGCTTAATTCATCTAAGACTGCTGAAAATAGAACTGAAATGGTGTGTGGAGTTGGTCTGTGTATATTGCTAAGAAGTGTAGCTCATGGATACAAGTGCCAACATGTGCATTCATCCCAACTTGGATAATTGATGCCATGGGAATTTTAAATGGTAATATTAAATCAGATTTATAAAATAACATTATATTATTTCTAGAACTTGATGTGTCCAAATCTAAATAATAGGGTGTCCGAAGTGTATCAGAAAGGTTGCCTAAATACAAATTAAAACTTGTTTTAATACAATTTATGCAGGCATGCTGTGCATTCATTTGTATATAATAATTGTTTTGTTTTATTGGAAGGCACTTTAAGGGATAAGTGAGGCAGTCGCATGTATTACTCATGCGTAGTAATATGTGGCTATTTTAGACGCTATATAAATAAATCACAAAGCTAATTTACTTCAGAAGCTGAAGATCAAGTATGGCGGATGAAGGTTCGTACAGTCAAGATCATTTCTTTACCTTTAGCTCTCGCCTATGTTTTATAACATTTCTATCTCTTTTTATGTGATAAGTTTAGCCCACCTCAATCCCCTTTCTGCCTTCCTTTCAATTGCTATACAATACCATGTACTGTTGTATGTTTTTTCCTCGTATGTAGCATAATTAATTTCTGTTTTGTTTTGTTGTTTTTTTTTTTTTTTTTGGAGGGGGGGGGGTTGGTTTGTTAAGTGTATTTGGCAGGCTTTTTGTGATTTTATAATAATATATGTAAAATGTTGTATTTTTATAATAACCGTCGTTTAAGAAAATAGACGGCCGGATTCAATTCAAGCTAAAGCGTTGAGTCTTACGAGCTTGCCATGATGGATTCCCTGTATAAAGTATATTAACATACAAGACTATTTGCCGTGTACAATTTTTTGGTATTCCCACTGTGGTCTCGAGATAATAACCGGTATTAATTCGGGCTGGCCGTGATACTTGGGTGTACCGCAGGGGACTTAATTGATCTTATATACCAGGAAGCGTGGGGGGGGGGGGGGTTATTTTTCCATTGATTATGAGCGATACAATATGCACGTCTCTAAGTAGGTTATAACCTTTATATATTCTGTATATGAGAACAGTGATATCATGAATGATGGATATATACAGAGCTAATGTTAGATTACCTGTATTTGTATCATGGTCTGGCTATTTTTCCTTTGAAGTTGCCTGTACAAAAAATAGCAATACCCAGCTTGGGGTGGGGGGTTGGAGCTTGGCTGTCCAATAACTTCCAATATCTGGAAGTTACTGGACACTAGAAGTGTACAATAATTTCCTAGATTTGGAAGTTACTGGACACCAGAACTGTACAATAATTTCCTAGATTTGTAGGAAGAACAACAGAAGTGTACAATAATGTCCTAGATTTGGAAGTCACTGGACAACAGAAGTGTAAAATAATTTCCTAGATTTGGAAGTTACTGGACACCAGAAGTGTGCAATAATTTCCTAGATTTGGATGTTACTGGACAACAGACTTGATGTAGGAAGTCGGCTTGGGTTGAAATACTAATGGATTGTTGAATGTTTTTGGCGGGAAATGCACTCAGGAACACAGGACAAATGTGATTGGTTCGTGGCAGTTGATTGACGGACATGATACAAGCCAGTTATTTAATGTCAATAGGACTCATATACACTCGATATTTCGGTGGGCATTACCAGCTCGCTTCGCGAATTCGTAACCGCCCACCGAAATATCTTGTAATACACTCATTTAGACATCCAATAACTGTAACATATTCTGTATATGAGAACAGTGATATTATGAGTGATGGATATATAAAACTAATGTTAGATTCAAACGCAATTGTATCTCCATTTTCTCTTCACAAAAGTCTTGATTTATCATCGATACTCCGGGGGTGACAGTCACTTTTGCTCTCTGCTCCCCTGAAACATGTCATGGCACAAGTGAGGTAATTGATTCCTTCCAGGAGAAAAAAACTTACCAATCACTGGCTCCTTTTGAAGATTACGAAGGAGTGATATCCAACTTCAAAGCCATTACAATCTACTGTTATGCCACTTCGAGATTCTTTTGATGTACACCAAAAGATCAAACTAGTCTGTTAGTCTTGTCCACCAGGTGTCGCTTAGAAACCTTCAATATTTCCAAGACGTGTTCCTGTTCGTGTTCAAAAGTGATCGTAACCCTTTCAGTATCGAGGATGGTCTGGATGATTCACTACGTGATTACCAGACTAAGCTTAACTGTGACGTACATTGCCGAACATTTATTTCGGTGCGAAGAATCTGAGAGAAAAGTAAAGCCGAATACATAATACTACAAGATTTATGTAAAATTCGGATTTCCAGTAAAATTACTTATTTTCCACTCCAGCAGTGTAGATACGTTAATCACACAAAATAATACAGATGGTCTTGTGTGCTAAATTGCCGAAAGCTGGTAGAGGACATGAAATAAATAAATTAATTAATTGATTAAAATAAATAAATAAATTTCCTCCAGTGTAATCAGCGTTCCATGACAAATCAAAGTACTGAAAGTACTGAGAAGCTAAATGTATTACACTCTGGAATGCAAAATTTACTAAAATAAGAGAACCAGAGGCTATTTTTCTTAATTTTAAGCGATTTTATATCTTCTTTTATTCTTATTTCAAATTTGACGACAATAATGTGAACAAATCAAAATAGGTTTGAAAAAAATAACAAAATACACACAACCATATATTTATCGCCAACAAGCCAAATGATAAATAGCTCTATGATGAAGTTGACTAAATAAAACCTTTGAAATACCCAAGATGTTGCAATTACTATAAGACTCTTTCATATGCGTGTATGTAGGATAGGGATATTCCACCCGAGGGTTTTACCATATTTTGTTACCCCGAGGGTGGACTGATATCCCTATCCTACATACACACATAATTAAATCGTCTTTTTCTCTCATATCTTTACCAAAATTTTGGGGAAATGACAGTTGGTCGGCCATTATCTTCATTTTTTTCATTTTTTGAATCCGAGGTTTTTATTAAAAAAAAACGAACTGGATATTCTTGACGATCACACCCATATTTTGCAAACTTTCAGTTTGCTGTCAAATTTCAAATCATTTTTCGGTATATTGCAGGATGAATATATTATTCGCAGATGAAAAAAAAAAGATCTCTTTGTGATTATATAGTATGTGTAAGTAAACATCCGCGAAAAGAAATTGTTCCGTCAAATACTTCAAAGAAATCAACAAGGAACGGATTTTTATAATTCAACATATAGTTTTATCATCGAAATCACATATTTGATCATTTTAAGAAATATATCAATGTATCTTTTTACTGTTTTAACATTTATTCAAAATACTGTGACGCTGACATGACGTCACCATAGTCAAAGGAATTCCATTCATAAATTCAAGGCGTGACCTTACACGATCTCCTATTCCGAGTTGCTGTCGCTCTCGATCACCGTGATTCGATGACGTTTGGGTGGTGGAACATTTGTGGTGATATTTACGGTGATTTGGCAATTTTCAATGTGAGAACCAGCAAACAGGGATTCGATGCGAGTTTCGGATTGTTTCTGTGATACAGGATTGTAGGTGTTAACCGTGTTTTCTTGTTGTGATGACGATGACAGATGACAGCTGGCAGATCGATGTAAACAAGCAGACGACGCTGTAAGATACTACTGAACATTTTCGTCAGGTTGGAAAGTAAGGATTATGTAAAGATTCTTTATACACAACCAGGAATTTTAATATGTGACGTTTCGGTGACCAGTACGATCCGTACGCTGTCACCTTCCTCAGACAAATGACCAGTAAAGCATGTACACAAAGGTGTGATATGTGTACGAGTTGTCGTGGAATAGCGTCGATTTCGGACATGCTGACAAGTGCCGAAATGACTGTTAGCGAATAGTAAAACCATTCGGCTACGCTTATTTTATTACTTGGTCGTAGATGTGCGAGAGTCTATGAGCCCCTTCAT